TTTCATCCTATTTTGATTCCGATTCGATATTGGCTTTCACGCTTCTCTAAATGAGAATTATACTCCTGCACCTATTTTCGATAGGAACAATATAATTACCATCATTTCGTAAATGAAAATTTGTCATAAAACAAATATAAAAAAGCAATTAGTCACGCCACTACTTACCGATTGGAAAAGAGAAGATTCATTTACATTGCGGGCGTATGTTGTAAGAAATGTGCATGAATGTAATTTCGGAAAGTACGAACAAGACTTCTTACTTTATATGCGAATCTTTTAATACAAACGAGCCAAGCCAACCAATTTGGCTTCTTATGCGTACAATGATAAAATTTAAGGGAGATTTTTAGAATCGATAAATTCCTAAGTAAATAAAAATTTGCGCGGATTAATTGTGATACCACATGACTTCCACAACATCCATATGTTTCATGTCTAAGCAGCTGCGAAAACCACTCAATACTCATCGAAATGTTTAAGTCGTCCACACCACACGTGAATTGACCATGCAGCTTAAGTAAAGTTACGAAATATGACTAAAGTGAAGTTAGCCCACTGTACCTAGCCCACATTTTAGCAAAGACCAAAACGTGGGCTATCTTCACTCTTTGTTTCGCGTCTCTGCTAAGGCAATTGATAATTGACCACTACAAAATCATTAGAAAAACTAAACAAAAATAGAAATACAAGCATAAATGAGATAAAAAATTATACAGAAATGTTATAAGAAACGAAAAAAAATTTTTTTTTTTTGTTTTTACCATATAGTGCATGTGTAGCGTTGGCGAAAAGTGGCAATATATAAAGCGTGTATAAAAAATTTCTACGAAATATGACATGTACAGTTTTTTAGTATGTATTAAAGGACGCTAAAAACTATCAGAAAGACTTAATTTCATTACCCTGGTATGGGGACATCATCTCGAAATTCGCCAAAAACCAGTCCGCTCCGTAAAGGCAAAATGTTGCAATAATGTTTCTAATAAAATGTTCGAACTTATATACATAATGTTGTTGCTTTACTTGCTAATGAAATTTTTGATACGCCTAATGTTTTTGTCTTTTTTCAGCATGTATGTTTAAGATTATAACGCGTTTGCTTAAGAAGTTATTTGTATGGCATTGAGTTGTCGTCATTTCTCTAAATATGAATCGCGTACAATTTTGTTCAAAACATTCTATAGGCTAATGGCATATATTCTATGACAAAAATGTTCGTGTGCGTTTGTGCGTGCGCTTAGCAGTCACTTGACCGCCTGCTTTCTAATTACTATTATTTATATCGATAAAAATTCATTTTATGACTTTTGGTTACGACGGCGTCTATTCTAAGATTATGCCCTATAACTGACGATTTATTTCAATTTGTTTTATAGATTCATAAATGTTAAGGGATTATAAAATTTAGAAATTACATTAATTTATTTACATTAAACTCGTTTCAGTTCAATATCAATTTTTTATTTCACTGTATTGCAATTTTCCGCACCACCCGCACCAGCTAATGCAACAGGCGTGTTAGCATTTATTTTAAATAGCTGCTGTAACTTGTAACTTAGCAAAGACATTTTTAGCGAAGGTACGAACCATAAAAATGTGCAATATGCTTGTGAAATAATAGATAATTCCTGAGAATAATAATAAATTTCCTACGTCCACCCAATCTCAAATTACAACAAAATTAATCAGATAATTTATGGCGGCTGATTTACACGCTTAAATCGTATGACAAATGTGTGTGATGCAAATTCTATCCATAGCATTACCGATACCGCCGAATCCGGTCGGATTAGCCTGAGAAATGATGAGCCCATTAAGAAAACCTTTCAAAACGAACTTCTTCTACAACTTGATATTTAATCATTAATGAAATCGGTATGTAATTAAGACCCCGAACAAAACTAAAAAAAAAGACAGCTGTTCAGTTTTTTACGTAGGGCGAACTTTGTATTGCGGTTTCTACAAGAAATATGAAACCACTCTGCAAGTTCGGTTCATGTTTAAAAATGTTTATAAACGTTTTTATATGTAAAGTTTTGGTTATGATTTTAATCAAAACACCTGTAGGATTATTATCTGATTAAAGAAATTCATTCAAACATTCTCAATTGGATGGAATTTGTATTTTCTCAGATGGTTGGAATTTGTATACAAATCTCGCATTTAGATTTTTAATCAGTGTTCAACGATGTCCGGCGGTGTGGCGCCCGTTCGTGCTTTAGGTAATTATTTCGAAGGCAACAAACTTTATTTTAAATTTTTTCTTATAATCATCGTAAGTCAGACTCAGTAAGGCGATCAAGGGTACAGTTGAAGAACGTCATTGTTTTTAATATTTTCTCTTCCCCCTTCATGTTTGCGTGTTTTTGATAAACTTTTGCTATTTTTGATGGATGAAATTGCTCAAGAGTATCTGTGTTACGATAAGAATTTATTTATTTTTAATTTAATTTATTTTTATTATAGAACACAAAAGTTATGTCTTCTTCCTATATAGAGACATATTTTTCATGGGCGTATTTATGGGGAAGCGGGTCAAAAACGTAATGTAGTACATGTTTAATCCTTACACGTTGCAGGAGACAAAAATTTGAGTAATCGTAATTACTATCTCGCTCGCCCCTTTCCTGATTTTTCTCAGAATCTGTTTGCGCTTCGAATTGAACATCTCGGTTAGCTTTGACCTCAGCGCTAGGGTCTTTTGTCCAAATTAAATTGTTATCCGGTTGCCTATGTTGATCATTTTTAGTCGTTAACCATCTTTGTAATGGTAATGGATTTTCCCATGCTTATGGATCAGCATTGCGAGAAATAATGACTTTGACGGTTTTTTCATTTATGTTCGTTATGTTTTGTAAGGGGAGGGCTGTTGCTTACTTGCTACATTCTGTGTATATGAAGCCAGTCTATCGCAAAAAGAGGTGATAGTTAACTCGCTCTTTATTGTTTCTAAAAATTTCCTTTTTCAAGCTACAGGATATACAAGTAAGAATTTTTTTTCCTAAGCAATTGCAATTTCCACCTGTATTATCCTCTAAGGCGTTAAAAAGAAGGAATAACATAAATATTCATACTCCATAGTGTTAGTTGGACGTGATTTATTTTTTATGTTTTTGTAGAATAATTTTTTGAAAATTTGTTTCGTATCTGTTTTAGTGTAGGAGAAGCGACCAAAAAGAGACACGAAAACCAAAGGCGTTTTAGTTTTGGTTGTAATGGCATTTAGGGCGCTTTCTTTGACCTGTCTGGACCATGTCCAAACTCTGTTGCAAATTTGTAGGCGATGCACTCTTTTTTGCGAAACGGAGACGGGGAGTGTGTAGCACATATGCGACATCATTGGGCCCACGAGCAGGTGGACGGACAAACAGACACACAGATGGATAGGCGAACAGACGGACTTGCCCAAGAATTCGTATATTCCATTTTGCACGTTGGAAAAGTGTATAAGAAAAAGCTTGTATAGACCATGAATGAAATGGAACGAAAACATCCTTGTGCAATAGCTGATGTTCGAAGTTGGAATTCCACCGTCACTGAAGTAGCAATTTGTTAAAAAACTTAACGCGGAATTATTTATTGCTATCTTTTGTTTATCATTTATTTTTTCCTTATACATCATACTTTCTATATTATGTTAACTTGTTTTAGATCTTTAAACAGTTTTGAACAGATATCTGTATGTGTATAGATATATTTAAAATTAGAGAAAAAATAATATGGAACATTACTTTTACAATCAATCTACTGCGTATAATATATAAATAATATGAAACCCGGATACTTTTAAACATTTGCATCCGAAATGAAAAAAGTAAGGAAATTATATGCGCCTGCTACTAGATCATCTATACCTACCACGCTTACATTAAAAAAGTACTCCAAGAATATGAAACCTCGTCATTTTATAACATTGCATGGATAGTATCCATCCTTCCAGATAGTGTGATTACAATTAAAAAGACAAATTTTTCAAAAAGCTTTTACGGAGAGAAATATTATCTCTGCAAATTCATGTTACATTCCACCACAAGGATATATTAAGTTTCTTCGAATGTATCCAACACCCAGAAAGACTTGAGATAGGCACATCTCTTATCATACCCATCAATTCAGAATCACTTTTTGAACCGATCTAAGCTTGTCTGTCTGTCCGTCCGCCCGCTTGTGTCTGTTTGTAATTTCTTTTCAACCTACAAAACATATTTTGATGAAATTTGGTATGCAGACTTGTTTTGTGCCAGGTGGGACGCTATTGAAAATACTTCCAATCGGAAGACGTTTTCGTCACTTCCCGTATAAAGCATATTTTGAAAAGTCGTTATACGAATAACAGTATTAAACCAAGCGGTGTAGGGTATTTAACGGTGGGCCGCATACCACATTAGTGTTTTCATCTCTTTTAATTGAAAATGTTTTTTATTCATCAACCAAAGGAAACCTCAAAAACCCCCTAAACTGTGTTCTTGATCAGCATCAAGTTATAAATTTCGTATAAGGAATATCTACGGTAAACGTTTCCATGACCGCAAAAAACAAGACTACCGACTACAATTTTGTTTTCGTTGTACGCAAATCGGTTCTGAATATAGACACAATCGGTGAAAGGATCAGTGCAATACAAAATGAGAATACAGTGCAATATGAAATGAGAATACCTTTGCGGACTGTGCTTTTTGCTCAGACGCACCGTAAAACTTTCCAAGTATATTCTATAAATATGGAAAAAATCACCCACACTTAGAAAACTTATGTTTACTCTTTTGCTGGATTAAGATGCTACGTAAGATAAGCACTAGCGGCTAAGACCACCGGTCGTATCTTTTAAAAAAGATAACTAGTGCGGCCATTTTAATAAGGTTTAATATTTTATTGATATTTTGCCTTTCAAGGTTCAAAGTATTTTGTATAGCACCGTTCTAATGTTCTTATTAGTACTGAAATAAATATTCCTAATTATCTTTTGCTGAAAGCTGTGAAATTGGAAACAAACATAATTCAAGTTAATCATTTATTAATGCCTTCAAACAAATCTAGACAATGAAAAAACTTTAATAATTAATTGCCTTTCATATGATTTAAGCCCATTTCACTTAGTATTTTTAGTGCACATCTTGCAGCATCTTCCCGAGATTCTTCGGAGCTTGTGCCAATACCATGACATATTTGCGGCGGATTGGTAGAAAGCATTATTATTGAGAGGAACTCATTATGATTCCCTTTCGGGTAGTCACTATAGCTAACCTTTGATTGAACGAAAAAAATTAATAATTATTTAGAAAATTATTTTTTTCATGGATAATGCTCCTACTTCAAATCCCAGAAGGTTCCCCAAATATAACAATTGATCCTTCATAGGAAAACAATTAACCTTTGGTTGAGCGCATTTCTTGTTGTTGGAATTAGTGTCATCGTTTTTTAAAGCCGAATCTGAGTTCGCATCTGACGACGCAGCCGCGACGTTGTTATTAGATTCAATACTTTTTTCGGCTGCAACGTTTACACACTCCAATTTGTTTTGTTTATTTTTTGGTTCAATGTGAACAGCGTCCGTTTCACAAGATTTATTAGATGTCAGGTCTTTTTGATCTGCGATAAGAGGTATATATTTATGAATGAACAAACTATACATTTATGTGTGTTTAACCTTTATTATCCTTTGCATGCTTTAAGACAAGAATACCGGGGACTTTATTATTGGCAGATACAAGTTCCTCTTCAATAGTATCTAAAGACAATGACCTCGGCTGCTTTGTAGAAATGCGTGACTTTTCGTCGGAAGTTGCATCCAATTCTTTAGCGGGACTCAGGTTTGATTGACTCTCAGTACTCTGTGCTTCTATGCCCAAGGATGTCATAAGGTCTAAAGTAAAATATATACGTATTTTTAAATTTTAAGATAGACAGCTAGAAAATGTTTATTCGTCATCCACACACCACATCAGCCTAGTAAAGTATCGTTGTAGATCTTCAGTAAACTAATGCGAACGACGCTTTCACAGTCCGTTGGTAAAAAATTATAATTCAATTTTTTTTTTTTTTATATAGTAAAATTATAGACTTGTGTCTAATATGGAGGGTTTTTCAAGCGGATCACGTCCATCGCACCGTTAGATAATATTCGTAACGGATTGAATATCATACCTTACTACCAAATTCAAACTTTATATTGAAAACCTCGGTTTAAAAGTTTATATGTCAAGCTCTAGTCTCCTACCTAGGAAGCGGACAACAAACAGGCAGAATTTTACGGAGCTTAAAAAAATATATACATTAAGAGACATTTGATGCATCATTCTGGATATTACAAACGGAAGAACAAATGTAGTGCGTCGTTGCTTCTCGGTGGTGCGAGTATAAAAATGTAAAATTTTCTTATTACTTTGCGCCGCATTGCGCTTTGCCAGTTTTTTGGTACTTCCAGTGCCACGTACGGCGATTCCTTTCGATTTCACCTCAACTACAAATTGCTGCTTGCGTGACTTTTCTTTAATATTATCTTCCGTAATTAGCTCAAATATCGGTTCTTTTTCCCCGTGGATATGATGCCATTGCAGCAGTTTTGTTATTGGATTTGATTTATCTGACGTTGTTTGTCCCGATTTATTACCGTAACGCTTCGGAATTTTCCTCTCTGCGTTTTTCAATTTATGTCTTTTGACAGGCGAAGCTGCCGGTTCCAATGGCGGTAACTTCCTTAGCTCTTCCAACATTTTTTGCGCAGCCTTTTTTTTGGAATTTTTTTTACCCGTGCCTTCACCCTCTGTAACTATTGATCCGACTACACAAGCTGTTGTAAATTTTCGCATGTGGGCTGGCCCTACTTCGCGCAACACTTTAAAATCAACTGGAAGACCTCTTTTAGAGCCAATTTCGAATACAACTGATATCGGTGATTTACCATTTTTTTCATCCCTGTCATCATTTTCTTCTTTAGATGATTCCACTTGATCGTTTATTTTCGCTTTGATTACTTGGAGAGCTTGAGCTGCGGCGTCATGTTTGGCTTGTTGCAAAGTCTTACCCGTACCAATATACTTCTCTTGGCCGACAATTAGTGTTATCTTACAGGGAATTGGCGGAGGTAAAAATTGATTGATTTGATGTAAAGGAGGGCGTGTAATAATATTTGAAGGAACTATTGGGAAACGTGGTTGAAATCTAGAGGGGAAATTGTGTTGATTGTGACGCGGATGAGATAGAGTAAAATGTGGCGGCATTGGTAATGGTTGCGGAGGTGGATTTGGCATTTCCCTTGGATCGACAAGATAATACGTTTGTTGACCCATTTTCATGGCTAATGCATTTAATTCAACGGTAGGTGTTACACCGAATTCATTATTCCGTCGACTCGTTTTCGGTACCGGGTGGTTGTAGTTTGTCTTTAAGATTGCCTCTTTCGCTGCCATGTGCTGAGCTTGCTTTATTTTACAACCTTCAGCTATGTACTGCTCGTCGCCTAATTTAAGGGTGACTGTAAAACGTTTGCAATGTGCAGGTCCAATTTCGTTGGTCAAACGATATTGGAACGAAATCTAACAATTAAAAACATGCTCATAATCTTTATTACTCTAGAGAAGTAAACTTTGTCTAACCTTGTTATACCGTGCCAAATCATTGAGTAAGCACATCGGAGTCTTTTCCGAGATGTTTTTTTCCTCGAGCGTTGCATCCAGTGCAGATAAATTTTCCTTTTTCGAACTGTCGATAAGTTCGGTTGTTGTTTTGTGTTCATCTCCAGGATGCTCTTAAAATAAAAAGGATATGCAGTTATAGTTAGAAGCCGGCTCGCCTATATTTGGAACAATGCTTTTGCTTACCTGGGCCCCAATTTTCGGACTTGTCATCAGGAACAGTATTTACATTATTCTCTTTATCAACGTCAACGTCCACAATGGGAGATGGTTTCCGCAAGTCACCATTCACTGTTGGATTGAAATTAACCGTTTCTTCACTTTCTTCTTCAGCGTTATTTGAACTATTTTTACACTCTTGAATTGGTATTACAGCGTTAGCGTTATTATAATTATGTGATGCTTTTACTCTATGTTTACGATATCTCAGCTGATTACTGGTTTCTTGCCCATCTACGTTATTTACTAGATTAGCATTTGAATAATCATTTTCTGGAATTTCATTTGAGGAACGATGTGTTTGCTGTAACGTTCCATAACGTTTGGTGACGTAATGAACTGACCGATCATTCGGCCTTAATAAATAATTTCCTTGATGATGTTCCTGGGTGTGGGGCACATCAAGAGTTTCTCCAGGAAATTGCCTTTCTTCGGTGTTGAATCCTGTAAATAGTGCAAGAATAACATCATTAGAAGGATATTTCGAGTATAACATTTATCAATTTCCAAATCAATGGATAAAGACCTTTTTCTTTACGGAATACCTGCAAGGAATCAGGCCTATACCAATTTAAAAGTAAGCAATCGAACTAAATGATAACAAAAATTATGATTCAATTCTGATTCCGCTCCTTCTCTCTTAATTCGATCTTCTTTTCTTAAACTAAGTGAAACCACTTAAGTTTTCCTATTAGACAATTTTTAATTTGTTATCGAAATTATATTAAATACATAAAGATCTTAAGATCAGGTTTTTTTTTACTCACCACAGAAGTACAATGGTGTTCTAAAATTTATTTATAACTCGAAAAAACACACGTCAGAGAGCCAATGAAATACAGTAAATACATCTTTGACCAACCTAAGATTGATTGATAGAACTTGATTTAGCAAAGTCGCACATGTCGTTTGTTATTAGTCGTAAAAATTGGGACAGAAAGTTGAAAATTGTGGCATATTGTTCATTAATGGCCAGGCATCAAATTAAGGAACTGGCGTGACGAGTTTTCAACGATGTCTAGAATAGATAATAGAAATCTGTCTGAAAACCCCATGAAACAGTTACCTTGATTTTCCGCCTATAATTAACAAAATACTTAGCGATTTTTGTACATTGACCTGGGGCAGCGGATTTTTAAAGTTCGCCACAAGGCCTTAATAATGTTTATAAATTGCTTACTATTCTATCTTTATATTCTTCTAATTGAACTTGATCATTTCTTGGATGCGCGAAGAAAATTGTTTTTCTAGCCTCTATATAGTGATGATCATCAAAGGTGGGCCTGCAGAATAAGAAAACCAAATTATTTTATGCACAACCTTATTGTTATTGTTGTTATTAAAAGAAAATTATTCATTAAGGCCAGTTGAACTTATTGTTTCATATTAGGAGTTATAACAATTTTGTACTTGCATGTGTTTTTTTATATCGAGTTAAAAAATTGTTGGCTAGGAGGTTAACTATGCGTGTAAAGTAAGAAAAACAACTGTTTTCACCCATACGATGAGACAATGCTATACATTTAATAATATGCGTGAAACTTAATTACCGGAATATGCGCGATGAACTTTGTGCTTTACTTTAGGTATTTGTTGGTCTTGATTAAATCTGTAAATAAATGAAAAGAAATGTAAGGTAAGGTATTTAATGCCTTTATAGCAGAATATTCTATAGCATACCGATGTTTTAGGTCGAACGCATTATTAGTTGCAATAGCCTGACGATAGGATTTTGAAGGACGTGATAGAATTCTGACAGAGCATGGTGAGAGATGACGATCGGTTTGCGTGTTTGGATTTACTGGTATTTTGTTTTCATACGAACGGCTGCACTGTGGATATTGTTGCATTCTGCGTTTCTGTAGAAGAGGAAAAAAACAAGTGAACATTTTTGATTAGCTTGCTTTCAAAAAATATTTTCTGCAATTTTAGAAGATATCACTGATGCACACGCCTCCAAAGCGCGACTACTACTACTTTCAAAATTATTAAAATGAATTTTAAAAAGTTGTAATGAGACAACTTAGGCAATTGTGCTTTAGTCATTTCTTTGTGCACAAATAGGCCGATAAATTCGATGCATTTTCATTTATCTTTCTTCAAAAAGATCAAGAAGGCTATAGAGAAGAAGATAATTTTAATGTCAAATGTGAAAGGTTTGACCGTCCACACTCTCCCGGTAAACTCAATATTTATCTCAGTTTATAAAATAGAATACATATACTTGTTCGAATTAAAATTCGAAATGTTTATCTCAGCAGTCTAAATTAATGTGAACGAATATGAATAGAGAAGGTAATCTTGAAATTATTAGTCTAATAATTATCATATAATATGTACATTATAATAATTATACTTCCAATTGGCCTTTTCAATATCGAAAACAAATAAAAAGCTCTACCTATAAATTCAAACACATTTTACCTAAATTCATGTTCGAGTAAAAGTAAACATTTCGCAATGCCGTATAGGTTTCATTCCCATGGAGATTTGTATCCCCCCCATGGCCGTCGTTAGTGCATGTTATGTGAAATAATTTTCTTCTCCGGCTTCGGAGTAACTCAACAATGCTTCTATAAGTAAAGTTCAACTTTTCAACCCTTAAACACGGGAAACGTTTCAAGACACGAATTACGCCCACTAGTAAATAATAGTTTCAAGACTAGATATTTTTGCTATAATAAAAAAGAACTAAACGGTAGTTTTTTTCAAGGATTACAAAGTTTGACAAAGGACTTAAAGCATATGTTTTTCACCTTTTTTTTTTTAATCAAAACTTATGCCTACGATTTTGTGAAAGTGTCATCACTTCTCTTTTCCGACAAGCACCAATTTTTACGTAAATTTATCTTATTGAACGTAATAATTATAATAAGAACTTTTGTTAGAAACTTACCTGTGCGGTCGCATATATGTGATGTATTAGAACAATCCCGATCACAACAAAAATTACAAATACTGGAGAACAATCACTTTTATTTTATATAACTTAATTTATTGTTTTTAGCCATAGGCAGCAAAATAATATTTTTGTATATTTTTTTATATAAATATAATATCGAGAAATGTAAACTATGAATACGCAACGAACATCGGATTAAAAGAAGTGGTGGAAAATTATCAAAGGTTTCTTTTCATCATTACCAAATTTAACCGATAGTGAAGTTGGTAGCATTGGAAACAGCTGTAAAAACTTGATTTTACCACTTTTTTAGCGTTGCCGGAATTTTACATTAGATTTTTAGTACATAGTTGTCAAATTTTCGATTAGTAGCCGGAAATTTACAGTCTTCCACTAAAATTGTAAATAAAGTACAAAGCCGTGTAAAACAGTAGGAAAAATCGATCTATATATATATATATATTGTATCAATGTATGAGTGCTACAATCTGGTTATATATTCATGTTACTATTTTTTTATTGTTTGAATTATTATCATTATTATTAATTATTTAAGCAATAATGAATCAGTAAGTAAACGATTACAATTACAAAGTGCATTATTAATTGCGATCAATCAAGATTAAAATGGATTTATTATGCCAGTAAGCGTAGAAAATCTCTTTCGCCACAAATTAAAATACTAGATAGGATAACTCGAACAAGTGGGGATAAATACTTATTTTTTATACATTTATATATACAAGATTATATATTATATTTCAAGCACTTCAAGCACTTGTACGAATATATGGTAAGAATTAGGAGAAAATTTTGAAAAATAGGGCAAAATCGAACGCTAGGTCTATAAAAATTGTATAAAACTATTCAGGAGACGTACAAGGGGAGATAAATGCTTATTTTTTATACATTTATATATACAAGATTATATATTGTATTTCAAGCACTTCAAGCACTTGTACGAATATATGGTAAGAATTAGGAGAAAATGTTCAATACAAAAAAAAAAAAAAACTTAATCTTGTTATAGTTGTTTTGATAATGCGTTGCGTTTCAGACTAGAAAAGCGTGATTGACCATTCCTTACTTATTACATCTTATCATACCATGGCTGAAAGATAGTTTTCATTTAATTATTCAATTCCTTTAGTAGATGCGGCATATGAAAACTTACATTAGTAAAAGTTAAAATGGATATTTATACGCGCGAATACTCGCCCAGCAAACCATCTAGCTCACTTTCCAATCATACGTTTTTTAATTTTATGATTTTATGACACATATCTTTCACTTGTTGAGAGAATTCGTCACGTCTTCCATTCCTAGGACTTTAATAAACCCTATTCATTCAATTTTTGAAAAAATTTTAAATATTAAAAAAAGACTTTTTTACTTCTTATTTGACGATCTTATTTTATCCGCGGTCGGAATTGAAATGACCGATTGGATGAAAGAGAGAAAGAAATGCACGTCTGAAAAATTTCTGTTAATTTGCAGAAACCGTTATCAGCTTTCATTGTATATGTGAAAACATATAGTTACTAAAAAAAAAAATAGCAGAATTGAAAAGCATTGCCATCTTAAATACTTCTTTTGACAGTGGTACGGAGATGAAACAAAATGTGAAAATGAAAAAATTTGTACTTATTTTAATTTTTTTTTTTTTTTTTTAAGATCCTGATTTCTCAGGAGTCCCGACATCTGTTCAGGAACTTATTGATAAAGGTTATATACGCTGGCGAAATATCAATGAATTTATAGATAAATCAAAATCGGTCGTAGAGTTTTACCGTGCCTATTGCGATCTAGAGCTTGAACACAAATTTATATGGGCGGACATTGGACGGACGTGCTGGCAGATAGACGGACAAAAGTACAGTAGACTGGTCAGAAATTAATGCAGCTTGGGGACAAACAGTTTTATTGTTGTGTGCATTGGCCCGCAAGATTGGGCTGACATTTAAACGTTATAAAATAGTTGCTTTCGGAAATCATTCTTATTTGATGCACCTATGGTATCCTTTTTGGATTGCCTTACACAATTTCAACTTTTGCTGCCTTACAAGATGGAAGAAGGAAAAGTTATTGATCCATTCACAGGAACGTCATATTCCATAAAGTAAGTTCGTTCCTTTTATGTTTATTTATTACTAACTTTTTCTTTCTTTAGAATACAGTGCAATTCTGAAGAACAGTGGACAAAAGCCTTAAAATTTATGCTAACCAATCTGAAATGGAGTTTAGCCTTCATTCTCATTGTTCGTCATTTATTTGGCCAAAGCACTCGAAGGCCAGATAGAGCTGCAAAAATCCCGCTGGTCGGTGGGAAATAAGCAATAAATCTTAAATCTCCTTAACTTTGAATCTCGTCAATGTGAACTGTATTTTAGTGGTTAGCTTTTCACTAATCTATTGGTATTTTTGATATGGGTATTTAAATCGTTAAGTAAGCAATGATTGGCATTAACCCTCGTACATTAAACCGTACAAAATTGCCAAAGAATTTGATAATTTTTTTTTTACGTTATGTTTCCGCACTTCGAGAGAAGCTAAGACCTTTAAATGATGAATAAACCCACATCCAGCGATGGACTAATACCTAACTGAAAAGCGATGGTGTAGCCTGGCTTCCACCAAATAGTACACGCAAATGTTGTATGTTAGCAGCTTCCAGACCGGTCCGTTTCTTTTTCAACCGGCAGTTTGTAACAGTTCCTTTTACATTTTTGATAGACCTCCCTTAAATAATTGTTTGTCAAATAATTTTGAATAACACATTTATTGGCTGGATGTACAATGATGCATATAATTGTTTTGCTGTTCTTATTTTTTATACAGCAAATCTTAATACTTGAATTCTTCTCATGTTTTCTTTAGACCATTTTTTAATATATATATAAATTACAATAATAGATATAATTATAAGCTTAAAATTTAATATTATGTATAATTACGCCTAGACAACGTATATATTTTTTTAATATTTTTCTTATTGGCAATTTCTTCGCATCTTGCTTCTGTTGCTAGTGGTATTGGAAAAATTACTTTTTTTAGAGATAAAACGGGAGATTCGTCGCTTTTCGGGCAACAAATGAACAATTTGAAATTTTTTTAACGTTGGTAGTTACAATAGCGTTTATACTTGACCGGCGCATTGTTTTGCTTGAAAGTATTGGTGAAGGGGAATTGAGTGAGGAATGAGAATATGACTTCTACCTTTTTGAGACGCATTGCTCCATTGTTTCTTGATATAATAAAGCGTTCGACTTCACACCAGATACTCCTCCTTTTGAGACTTGAATTAATGTGAAAGGTTGAATTGCTACTGGCTCTTCCTTTCACCTAGGCGCTGTGCTATCCCCATCTATACTAATTTTGCAAGCCATAGTTATGGACAATCCCAACGTTAAAGACAAACTAATGCAAACTTTTCCGAATGCTTTGCCCACCTTAAATGATGTAATCATAACTTGTTTTGGGTTAACACAAGAGTACCTGATATTCGCAACAGATGTAACTCTTGAATACGAATGCTTTCCCTTTAAATTCTTATTAACAAAATCATTCAGATAGGGCACTTGATTTAGTTTTCCTTGGAAAAATGGGAAACATGCACAACATATCGTCACAATATGGATATCAAGAAATAATTTGCTGATAACAAAAGTACGATCATGAACAGGGTTATGTATTTTTACCGGTAAGTTTCTGCCTCTTTTGGGGACGTAAACAATTTTAAAATTTTTACGTTTCTCCAAATTATTTTAGGCCTTGAGAAAATGCGTTATCGTTAATGATTTTCCTAAGAAATGTGATATTTGTCTATGGGATTTGGCTCAGCCCAATCTGCTTATAAATTGTGAAGGCAAAGTGGTAACAACGCAAGTTTTTATACGTTATTCAGTGACGGGGAAATATACACTGACAGCTGGTAAGCGTCGGAGCTTTGCCTCATCTCATATTGCCCAACAGGGCGGCGCTCGGCGTCTTAGTAAACGAGGAGGGCGACGCGGAGGGAAGACGCGACGCTGTGGAAGAAGGAGCAGAGGGCCAAGAAGAAGCCCCGGGACCGGAGACAGACCCGTAATCATTCATAAACATTATTATTCAAAAACATAATATAATAAAAATATAAAACAATAAAGTTATAATTCATTTGTTTTCTTTAATTTACATTTTGGCACCTAATAATAAGAACGTGTGTAGGAAAATGAGTAGGCGATTGAAAAAAACGAAAAAGAAGTTTTGATTTGATCTTAATACTTAAGGATAGACACAATGAAATTCGTCGTATGTCTGGATCGGATAAACCAGATTTTCTCAAACAGCATACATTTTCTCAATTGGCATACAAGTATAAATGAGCTCATGGACGACGATCACATTTCGCATATTAAGGAACAACGGAAGATCAGAATTTAAAATCTCTGTCGAAAACGCGATATTCTGTTGTATTTACGCTTATTGAAAACGTATCTGGCGCACTTATTGACAGACAGCTGTAGTTTGGCGTTCGAGGCGCAATCAAGGTTGCCGTATACGTTGGCTCCACACGATATAAATGGCATAACGAGACATTTCATTGATTTTAACATGTCCGACGTCGGTATGTACGAGGAGGATAAAGGCAGTTTTCTTAAAATGTTGTGTGTCATAAGGTTGATGAGACCTTTCCGACTTTCACGCGCTGACACCGCTTATCGAGATAAGACCTAACAAGCTTGGCCCCGTCAGATCAAAGCCAAAGTAGGAATTAATTTTCTTAAGAGTAAGTTATGATTCACAGCCTCGAAATTAATTATGACCAGGTATCATCCATATGTTTTCGAAGCAGTTCGAATGTTTCAGCGCTAGCTTATTTACTCGAGCCATTATCAGCGAGAAAAATGAAACTTACTTATTTCGTACGGTTGCATTTGAATCCAGATCAAAAAATTGAAAATTCTATATATCATGATTGTCCGATAAATCACCACTAGCAGCCGAGACACCAAGGAAATAGCTTGAACTTCGAATTTGGTAATTTGAGACAGTAACTAAATGAGCGACCACTTGTGCGAAGTTCATATACATTGCAACAAGTGTTCGTTCATTTAGTTACTCTCTCAAATTATCAAGTTCGAAGGAAAAAAAATATGGAAGCATTGCTAAATGAATTTCATCAAAGTGAAAGCGATGGTGATATTGTGGATAATGTACTTTGTATAAAAAATAAAGTTTTCAGTAAACCAAAAGAAAAAAGAACAAACACTCCAAAAACGGTTCGAAAACATTTGTTATCGTTATCCAAAAAGCGTAGCAAAGAAATTAACCCAACGTCGCGAGTTCGTTCGACATTTCAAAGACAAGAATCTATTCCTGTTAATTTAAGGTCACCAAATGAACTCCGTGAGACACCCAATAGAAATTCATTACAAACCGAGACTACGACATCCGAATTAGGGGAGTTTCGTAAAAATGGTGTTGAAACAACTACACCATACATCAATAGGAAATTGTCCTTTCAGGAAATGGACAAAGATCTCGCTACAGTATTAACGCTAAATCTACAAAAGAAGTGGCGGCTATCGGGTCTAAAACGTACTCGTACTAGTTCAAAAAAATAACAATGATAATAAAGAGAATTGATGAAACAATATATATATATAGATAAAAATAAAAAAAATTGCAATATTTACATAACCTTTATCAATAAGTTCGTGAACAGATGTCGGTACTCCTGAGAAATCAGGATCTTAAAAAATAAAAAAAAAATTAATATAAGCACAAATTTTTCTATTTTCACATTTTGTTTCATCTTCGTACCACTGTCAACAGAAGTATTTAGAATCGAACCATCTTTTATCACTGTGTTGTAAACTGTTTTATTATAAAAAATGTGTTATATTTTAATTATGAAATGGCAATTCTTTTCAATTCTGCTAGTTTGCTTTTAATAATTGTGTGCTTTCATGTGTATGTATCTGTAATGAAAGAAGATAACGGTTTCTTCAAACCACCAGAAATATTGCAGGCGCAGGCGCATTGCTTCTGTTTATTCGGACGGTTTATTCGGCCAAACTCTTAAACAAGTTTTTTTATGAGAAAGTTTTTGTGAAAGGAATTTTTTTTTGTTGAGTGTTAAGAAAATAATGTGAATTAAATTTTTTTAATTTGTGCACGTGTACGCTTTTGCGGATAATATTCAATTGTTGTTTCATGGCCCTCAGTCAATAGATGCATTACAAATGATCGTTCATGACATTTTAGAGCGGATTGAACAATGCATGAAATCAAACTTTATGCTATTGAATATGTCAATATCAAAAGTTATAGAGGTTAGGAACTGTGGATGTTTTAACTATATATAGAGATTCAGTTTTCGTAATATCGGCTATAAGAGAGAGGGTTTCAAGTTATCTCGCCAGAACCAAATATTCCATTTCAATTTAGAACATCAAAATACCGTCGCACAGAAACTTTTGTGAAGAAATTTTCCTTTTAACAAATTTTCACAGTTAGCTAAGGTTAAGTCGACCCGAAAGATGATTCTGAGTTGAACGGCATAATAAAAGGTACAACTATCACACTTTCTTCTGTATGTACCGCGTACATCCGCACAAACGTATATGTGCTTGTGCAAGAAGGAATGTAGGGCAAAAAGACGCCGTAATAAAAATAAAAAGAAGTAAGAACACTTTAGTCAGGTGATTCGAGATCGCATTCTGATTAAGAATACTGTCTGCATTATATATAACATATAACATGATCACTTTGTGTGAAATTGTATCTGCTTAATATCGGACCTCCTAGCCTTCTATGTACTTGGATACTTTTAATCTAGAAACTAAAAAGACAACATTTTTCGATAAGGATACGTTATGAAAACACACTTGAGTAAGTTTTTTGATTATTCATGTTTATTTCACTGCTTCTTTTATTGAAGCATAAGAAGAAGAATAAAGTGGGGGATATATGCCACACAATAACCCAGTTTAAATACTTAGTAGAGAACCTACTCCAAGTTTACCCTGGCATAACCATCCTGCCGTATAGGGTGAGCCAGAATCACCTGGAAAAAATTTTTTACAACATGGCGATCGGATTTCGAATGAGGACCCGGTTGCCAGTAGATATAATGGAGCTTGTAGATCGACTGAAGAAGTTTCAATTGTCGAGTTGGTTGAGCGGTTACAGGCCAAAAGACGATTTCTTCGTAATCGACAAAATGAACTACAAACTCGAAGCGAGAAACGAGGAGCAGTTCGTACCGTACGACCTAGATGGCGAAATATTGCCCAACCTAATGATGGATAGGATGTCGCCAATCGAAGTAGGACACCGGATACGCAATCGCGCGGTACATCGGTGAGCAACCGATTCGCATCTATTCTCAAAAAAACTCAAACGGGAATTCCCAACTCAAGAAACGATCAACTCAGCTGTAATCATACAACAGAGAAAGACATACCGAAGGAGGGACGGCGTTTTGAGCATAACGCGGGGATTTTAGTGAACAATAAAGGCGAATTGAAAGATTCCGCTATAACTGGACCCGTTGCAAAAAAATGTGCCGATCTACGTTGATGTCCTCTGAAGTTTATTCCTGCTAAAAGTATGACTAGTCTATAGCCAAGCAAATTGGTTCTATGGCTACTGCCGTTGTTACGCGTAGAAAACCTCGTATGTTTCCTTAAATGCTGCATGGATCTCTTATAAATGACAATCAGTAAAGATAAATTGAAACTCACCATTGGAATGCAGGGGATATTGCAAGGAGGGAGGACAGTTTATTCCTTAGAAGGATGTGACATTCGGATCGTTTTCCTCCCTAAAGTTTTTTCTAGACAGCAGCATAAATAATACGAATCCGAGTAAATTTGTTCGGTGGACCACGTCGCTGCTGCGCGATCCTGCTGTCCGGAAGAAAGCAACCAGCAACATGATGATCGCCTGTAGGCGCTTGACGATGTTCGGCACCACCAAATAATGGTGTTTGGCCGTCTTTTCACAAAATTAAATACAATTCTGAAATATTTTTAAGTTTATTCACTGCATTTTTTCCTCAACTCAGGTTTAGCCATTGTGACAGTGGCCGCAAACATATCACCGACGCCAGCAGCTGGTAAACGATTCAAGCGACCACGAATTCCGTGCACAGCAATTACGTATAGATTTTTAGCGAATGTAAAAGTTTTTTTAAATGAATGACTTCACACTTTCTTAAGCTTTAGGAAATAATACCAATATTGTCAGCGTAGTTCATCACAGCGCCTACAAACTAAGCAATATGCGAAATTGTCCTCCCGCGGTTTCACAACGTCCTATGCCGCAACGCCGTAAGAGAAGAGCCAATATATTAATGTTATTATGTTCATTAATTTTATTATGTTTTATTCTCAATCACTAAACATTGTAAAAGCATATTTTAGCATTCACTAACACTAATATTTTGCGGGAATTCACCTCTTTTAGACATTTTTCGTGCTGTCTTGTTAAGGAAAAGAAATCAAAAGAATTGAGAATTAAGAAAAGGAAGAGTGAGGTGCTGCCATAATTGCAAATCGCGAAAGATGTTGCCATAAATCGAAATTTACCCTTCAGAGTAATATAAGTAAATATCAATAAATACGATAAATGCATGAATGAAACGAATTTATTCAACTTTGCAGACTTTTCCAAATTTTGTGGCAGTTGAGAAATAACATGGGTTTGCATGTCTACATACAAATAAAACAAACAGAAAATAATGTACAAGAAGAAATAAAGGCTATTTATTTTACGTTTAGAAATTATTTATCTAATTTATATTAGTTTGGGGAAAAAGAAATCCATTATTTTTTCGGTAGATGGCTGCACTGATAGATTTCTCGTAAAGCATCGATCAAACAATTTTAGATTTATGCTCGTTGGAAAGGTGACATTTCGCAGTAAAAAAAATTCTTCTGCTGTTTTTTGTTTGGTGCTTTCAGTTGTGAGTTACAGCGTGTTAAAAATGGAAGTGAACAAAGAGAAAATTCGGTACATTTTACAGTTTTTCTTTGACAAAGGCGAAAATGCAAGCCAGGCGGCTAAAATTGTGAATGGTGTTTATGGTTCCGATACTGTAACAGCCAATTATGTGCAATTTTGGTTTCGTAGATTCCGTTCAGGAATTTTTGATGTTAAAGATGCACCTCGCACAGGTAGGCCGGTCGTCGAAAATGTCGATAAAATCGGAGAAATGATCGAACTTGACCGGCATGTTAGCAGTCGTAACATCGCCCAGGAGCTAAAAATCGACCATAAAACAGTTTTAAACCATTTACACAAAGCTGGATTCAAAAAGAAGCTCGATGTTTGGGTGCCACACCAATCAACAGAAAAAAACATGATGGATCGAATTTCCATCTGCGAAGCCTTGGCCAAACGGAATGAGATAGACCCATTTCTTAAACGAATGGTGACTGGAGATGAGAAATGGATCACATACGATAACCCTGTGCGAAAATGATCGTGGTCAAAGAGCGGTGAAGCACCTCAAACGGTGGTCAAACCAGGACTAACGGCCAGGAACGTTTTGCTATGCATTTGGTGGGACTGGAAGGGGATTATTATTATTATTATTTATTATGAGTTGCTTTCATATGGCCAAACGCTAAATTCTGATTTTTACTGTCAACAACTGGACCGTTTGAAGATAGCGATTGACCAGAAACGGCCAGAATTGGCCAACAGGAGAGGTGTCGTGTTCCAACAGGACAACGCTAGGCGACACACATCTACAGTGACGCGCCAGAAACTTCGGGAGCTTGGTTGGGAAGTTTTAATGCATCCGCCATACAGTCCGGACTTGGCACAAAGCGATTATCATCTTTTTCTTGCATTGCAAAATTTCTTTATTGATAAAAAACTGGAATCTAGGGAGGATTGTGAAAATCGACTACTAGAGTTTTTTGCAAATAGAGACCAGGACTTCTATGAGAGAGGCATTTTGAAGTTACCTTTAAAATGGCAACAAATCATACAACAAAACGGTGCATATTTGACCTAAATCGGACAATCCGGAGCATGTTAAACAAAGTCCTGAAGTTCATATAAAAATAATGGATTTCTTTTTTCCCAATCTATTATATTTCATTTGATTACGGCTTATATTCCTATTTTAAAGTTGCGATCATGTACTAAAATGGGATGAGATGAAGTCAAGCAAGTAGATTACATGAGAAGAACCAACTGCCATGCATTGCATACTTTTTATCCACTATTAAGGTATTCAAAGCCCAAAATGCCTCCTCTTCTTGCATAAATAAAAGAAGAACAGCTGC